GAAACAGTCCAGTTTTAAAAACAGCAAATATAAGATACACACACAAACAGTCTCACCTTAAGTCATGAACAGAATGTTCCACATTTGTCGGCGAACCTAAACAAATCAGATAGGAAAGATTTTGCTGGATGAAGAAGTCAGTTGATCGAGAATGCTGCAAAGTGATTACACGCAGCAGGTGGTCGTGCAATAAATCCATTTTTAACAGTGCTGACCCTTGCAAATGACTCGTGGAAAAGGCCGATACGCTGAGAACGCCGGCCGGGTGCAGCCAGACTGAACAGTGATGTCAGGTGAGCGCAGTCAAGCCTGTGAATTTACGTCATATAGAAATGAAATGTCAGCCTGAGCGAAGCGTGCCTTGATAGATGCTGTTTTGAAGAAAGCGAGATGTTCATAATCCAGTGGAGAACACGGACTGGCTACTCGAACTCAACCACATAAGAAACCGGTGCTGTAGTCTTTCGAACCGGGCGAGATGGGAAACGGAAGCACCGCTCCAAATAACGCTACCGTACTATATCAATGATCTCACATGACCGTTGAAGGCACAAAGCAAAGCCTTGTGATTGAACCACGATTGACGAGGGCATGACGGCATTTGCACGCTTCGCATGAGAAGGCCCAGCATCCTGTTTGCTTTTGAGACAGTTGAATCTATATGATTGGCAAAGGTGAGTATGGCGTCCAGGAAGACGCCAAGATCGCGAATCTGCTGGCAGTATTCCAAGCGGTGGCCGTCTAGCGCGTATGAGTAGTGAACAGGTGAGGTGCGGAGTGTGAATGCGATGGTATTGCACTTAGCTGGGTTCCATTTCAGTCCCCGAGTTTTTGAGTCACGGAGGCGATCCAAATCCGCCTAAAGTGTACCTGCCAATATGTATATAAGCCAATAATATGTAAGCCAATCTGCTACGTTGTCGATTCGGCGATGAATTTTCGCATCATCAGCGTACATAAGGTCTTCACGCTCAATTTGGTCAGGAACATCAGCCAGAAAGCAGGCGAACAGCAACGGTCCCAGGATGCTGCCCTCCGGGACGCCAGGTCTCACCGGAATCCAGTCAGACTGCTAGTCGTTCAGCTACTACGCGTTGTAAGCGATTGCCCAAGTACGACTCCAGTCAGCTGTACGTGCGACCACTGATGCAAAAGAATAGCGAAGCTTGCGTAGCAGATGAAGGTGATTCACGCTGGTGAATGCTGAAGAGTGATCGATGTAAACTGCATCTGTTTGTTTACCTTTTGAGATAGATGTCCAGCAGTGTTCAAGAAAACATGAAGCGTTTGTGATGCAAGAGCGCTTTGGAAGGAATCCGTGCTGGATGAGGGAAGGGCAGGCAGACAACCCTGTAACAGGCTTTCGCTCACAATTTTCTCCAATGTTTTTGAGCACATAGAAAGCAGAGACACAGGTCTGTAATTTTCAGGCAGCTTTTTGGACCCCTTCTTGTGCACCGGCATCACATTCGTTTGCTTCCTCATGGCGGGAAGACGCCAGAGTTTAGAGAAAGCTTGCATGCTATTTCTAACGGAGCAGCTAGCTCCCCGGCTTATTCCCTGAGAATCCGGGCACTAAGCCCGTCGGGAGCGCAGGCCTTGTGTGCCCTGAGATCGCGTAACAAGACAGAGTAAGGCAGAGTAAAGCACGGCTATGCGGCATCGCTCGGAAGTAATTCTGGAAAGAACTCCGCAGAGGGGGCACAAGCCAACCCTGCCACCTGAGCGCGCACATCAAGCACGCCATACAGCTGCGCGGCAAAAGGACTCCACGCAACTCAGTTTGTCCCCTGCAGCCCTGCCGACACGTGTTCTGTGCTTACGCGATAGTCATATTTCCGAACTCAGATCCACGCACAGTTAGCTCTCCGTTATCACACCTGTCACCCCACTGTCACCCCTCTGTGCCCTCACATGGGCGGCACAGCTGTGGCGGCGCGTCCTTTGTCTCGGTCACGGACCGGCGGAGCTGCAGAGGCAGGGCGTTATTCGTATTTCCACACTTGCATGGTGGGTTCCCATTGTCTGGGCGAGTCACTCATCACCTGTGGGTGATAGGAGGACCACTGGCTACCTGCGTCCGGGAGAAACATCATCTCCCACCTGTGTCTGCGAAAGTGACCTATGTGAAGATAGGTCATTTCAAGTGCTCTTATGGTGGGCTCCCATGCCGAGTTTTCGACCTTCCGCAGCGATAAAACGACGTTATAGAGCGAACTTTGGCTGCATTGACAGCGCTCAACGTTTCCAGCTTTGCTTATGATCACGAGCGATCATAAACATGGGCTGGAATGTCGAACGTTGTCAATCTAACCAATGTTTGCTCTATAAGGTCCTTTAGCTATGACCTCCTGATGTGTTGAAGGTCGGCTGATGATGGTCGATAACTCAGCACAAGAAGTGAACATAATAGATCTGAACTCTGATCTTGTAATACAGAAAAACAAGGAGTTGAAGGCCTCTCTCGCTTATAAAAAGGAAGAAGCGTGTCCCATGATTAGAACGGCTGCTTGTTTCTAAGTAGATGAGGTGTGTCTGGCAAGATCACCTTTGTTTAGAAGGGCAGCCAAGTGCACGAGGACCGCGGCCCACAGAAATGAAAGGACAGTATGGCCCTTCCCACCTTGGCATGACCTAACATGAATGCTGCCCCACTCGGGGGCAAAATTTCGCGCTAGCCCTGTGGCTAATGCAAGATTTAATTCTAGTTGTCGATTAAAGGTCCCAATTTATTTGATCCATTATGGCTCCACACTTGAAATCAAAGGACGCTTCCCTCTGTTATCCGTAAGCCTCGCTGCGCATGCGCCAGGTCTCAGCGGCGCTGCCAGCTGCACCGGTCAGCCGTCAGCCGTCCGGCGCCCCTCAGCTGCCCTCGGAGGGCCTCCCCACAGCTGACCCCGGCAGCTGCGGTGACTTAGAGTGCACAATCCGCGTAGTACCGGCCGCCGACCGTGCGGGCTCACGTGCGGCACTGCGACAGCGTTCAGTCAACGATAGAGAGCTCCACAGTCTTTCCTCTGTGAGCCGGCTGAATCACTTCCGTGGGTCAAGCCGGGGCTCATGACGGACTGAGAGTTTACGTAGGATTTCTTACCAGGTGCGGTAAATCCGCCCCGTGCATGTCGCTGCAAAGTGCTCGCATGTATCTTGTCTTTCTCGTCTTTTATGTACACATGAACACGCAGTTAAGCTTTCCGTTCTCAGTGCACTGTTCTTGAATCTCACGCCAAGGAGCATTCGAAGACTTAGATAGTGCTTTCCCCTGGCATGCAGTCGCCTGCTCTAAAACTGTCATTGGGTTCTCTGTTCTGAAAGGAAATGTTTCGCCGACGACACTCAAAGCTGCTTAACGACTTGCCCTGTTATCAAGTGCTCCGCGCATCCTCGTGGGCAATCATGTGCGTGAGGCGTGGCTGACGCGTTACGAAAGTCACCACGCATGACCTAAGATGCTTAGGCACTGACTGATTGATCCGCGCATTGAGGGACGTTTAGAATACCGCTCCAGTACATGACTGTAGAACTCAGCTATAAGTCAAGCAATGACCTCCGGCAAGGAGGGAGAAATCGGCTGAAAGCTGTGCGACAGATGTTGGAGAGAAGTGGGCTGAAAAAGCCTGCACTGTGCACTATATCTGTACTGCGTTATGCCTTGCATGCATTTTAAGAAGCTTGGTGTGGATCAGGCCAAGTTTTGCGTCATAATCAGAGGCGCATGCAGGAGTTCGTAAGTAGATGGCGCAGCAAAACAGTCAGGAGACAAAGATTATCATATCACAGCCGCGAAATTTCGCCGAAAAAGATTTCCAGACATTGTTGTGTATAACGCGCATGCTCGCAGAGTTGCACATTTTGACCTGTCTTCCTTGATTCATGAATATCAGTATTCATTTACATGCGTATTAATGCATGCTAGGGCTGAAGCGAGCGCGGTGCTTCATAATCTACCGCCGAGAAAGCATTGATGGCGACAGGGAAAAGTCGCGCTTGCTAAAAATACGACAAATGTGTATCATGCGCGTCGCTGAGGCAGATAATGTGTGAGATGGACTTGACCATACGTTGACGATAATCTGCAGGTCGCAGAGTGGCCGAAGGGTATATCAGGTCAATCCACAATTGTATGCCACCCAGAGCAACACGTGCATAGACTGCGAAGTTTGAACTGACTGATTTAGCCCGGGATGCTACCGACATGTATAGCTACGGTCCGAAGCGTGAGAATGTGTGGATCAGGTGTGAGGAAATCCCATTGATCTAGCGCATTTTGAAACCCTTGAACAGCTGAGTCCTTCCTGGGCCTCATCCAAGCTCCCCTCTGTGCCGTGCCGGCGACGTCACTGAACATACACCGGCTGGAGGTTACGACCACGCGAGCCGCTCCCTCCCTGCCCGACCAGTTGGTATGATAGATTGGCGCCTTCCTCGTCTGTCAGCCCGCGTGCCTCTGCACAGCACCCTCTGCCGGCGAGGCGGGCCCGAGGCTGGCGCAGTTCCGTACGCCGGGGCCCGTGACTTGCTGCTGTTTGATCGTGCCGATTACTATCCGCGGACATGGGCGTACCCAGGAAACAAAGAGAGTGCGGCCGTGTCCCCACTCTCCCTTCGTAACAATGGATATAAGGTAGCAGACACTCATAACTGCATTCCACCAACATTCTGTTTGTGGTTCTGACTTCATAAGTCGAGGCAAATTCAGTCGCCCGCCTACATTTTCTTTTGGCTGAGTCCGCCCCTGCATATAGGCCCACAGAAGGCAGAGGGCGGAGCCACCAGGCCATATAACGATGAAAGAAGCTGCTGAATAATCGCTGGCACTATTTTATGCGTTTGAAACAGTGACGGTGCATAGCGGTTGTAATTCATGTAACCCAGCGGATCGATCGGTTTGAGAAGGGCTTATTCATACGGGATCCGGATCATAACTGTTCCTTTTGGATTTTCTTTCAAGCGCCAACAATGTCGCGGTTTGCTGACGCTTGTGTCTTGTTTTTTAGGACAGCGATGGCTACATCATGCGCAGGTGGCCTTCAGAATCGTCCAACAACGGTGAGTCAGTGCAGCCATGACGGCCGGTCACTCAGCGGTCCGGCAATCTGTCCGCTCAAATCTGCCTCACTGGCGTCACCCATTACCATTGCCTGGATCAGAGGCGTCGCCAGGAAAACGACAACGGCAGTCCCCTCCGCCGCGCGCTGTCCACGCCAGACGACCGGCGCCGTCCTACAGGCGCATCTTGAGGTCGGGCGGGGTTGTGACCATCTCGGCCCCCGTGAGTCCCCTCGTGCTCGGACGCCGGGAACGCCTGGTGGCGACGAACTGCGCCATTCGTGCTCGTCTGAATCACCGAGGCCTTTCGCTCGGCGACCCGTTGGTCTGCACGGTGTGCACGACATCGCGAACCTTCCAGCGATCCAGAGCACCGCGCCTCGGGGCGCGGTCCGTGGTCGGTGCTCACCTGCCAGATTCTGCACGTCTGCAAATGTAGCTAGCCGTCCGTCTTGTGCAGTCTGACCTCAGGTGTATCATCACGATTTCTGGAAAAGCTTTTCGCTGTCGGGGAAATTCAGCTCAATTCCAGAGCGCATTAAATGTTTACACTCTTTTACGAGCATCTGGCTGATGTATCAGCTCCATAAACTTTAGTAGCCACAGCAGGTTAGATGTTTAATGGCCCATAACGACCAGTAAAGTTGCGCGTTAATTGGCTCACTACACCTAACGTGTATCTAGCGTGCGCATTACCTCTCAAAGTGTGGAAAAAGAAGAAATTTACCACTGCAGACAGCATGGGATTTTGACTTTAACTCATCACGAGCATCAAGGGCAGGCATGGTGTTTCTCGAAACTCGGATGTTCGCCGTTGGTGGTCGCTGTCTTCGGCGACGGTCCGCTCGAGCTACCAATGCTGTGGCCAGACCGCCCCGCTTGTGCTGAGCCTCCAAACAGACCGTACCGAACTGCCGCCGGTCTGGCCGCCGCATCCATCGCGTGGGTCGCGCGGTGACGGGCCGCCATACAAGTGGTGCTGCTCATACGTCACTGGATAGGCCTCCCGCTGGCTCCGGAATGTGAGA